GTTAAAGAATGTCCATCACTGTTGCAGGGAACAGAAGAAGCAGAACTAAGGATGTCACTGGCCAGAAGGCTCTAGGAAGAAAGGTACATGTAAAGAAAATTGAAAAACAAAATACGGGAGTGGAAGGAGAGTGCAGTGAGAGGGAAAGGGAGGGGGGGTGCAGTTGCTTTGAAAAGAATTGAGATGTCATTTAACTGCTGTTAGCTATATTACATGGACATATAATATAGGAATAATACTGAATTATGTGTGCATTGATATGAGTAAAGATGATGTATAAAATGTAAAAATGCCACAGTCCATGCTGCAAAAAGGGTACCACAGTGCACATCCTTTCCTTTGACCACTGCAAGCATGTGTACTACTGCTTTGAATGGTAACTTGCAACTATAACTACCTGCACATTTGCTACTTTTGTTTTTGCTGCAAGAGCACGTTATGCAGGTATTTTTGAGCTGCTCTTTTGTATGATGCATTGTAATTTCATACTTTAGTGTGCAATCATGGTTTGTCCCTTAGAATAGAGATAGATAGATAGATAGATAGATAGATAGATAGATAGATAGATAGATAGATAGATAGATAGATAGATAAGATAAGATAAGATAGATAGATAGATAGATAGATAGATAGATAGATAGATAGATAGATAGATAGATAGATAGATCGATAAAGAAATCAATAGATAGATAGATAGATAGATAGATAGATAGATAGATAGATAGATAGATAGATAGATAAATCGATCGATAGTGTTTAAACAATTCAGAGCAATCAGTGTACAGTAGTCAATTCTTGCTGTTCTTCTGTTACTTGTATAGAGACCAATGCCCAAACCGCCCCCACTTTGCACACATTTGTAAATATCGCTCTCTGTATGTACAGCTTTATTGAAATCAGCAGAAGACGTGTGGATAACCTCAGCAAATACAGCATAGTGGGGTGTGCCAATACACGAAGCTGCATAAGTACACATTGCCCTATGTGACAACTACCATACATGTGTAAGTATATTCTCGTGTACAGGCTAACTGCACAAATCAGCAAAAGCTTCTAAATAGCAGCTCTGATTGCTCCTAGAAGAAATTAAATGCTCTTCTGTAAATTTAGCGCAAGAAGCAAAGGCATCTCGTCTGTACAACTTTCCAGTATACATATTGCATGTGGAAGCACTTTCAGTACTGCACTATTTACTTGCATTTTTTTTCCCTGTATATAATTGTTTTAAACAATCGACAGACCTAGCTAAAAAAAAAATGCAGCGTGGACAGAAGTCCGACGTTGTCTTGGGAATTACCTTTTTTTTCTCCTAACAGCAGCAGTTTTTATTGAGCTTATATTTTGAACTTCTGTCTTCCAAATACATTTCTCTAGTGTCATAAACCTTTTTTTTCCCTTTTTTGTTGTATTTTCCCTTCCTCTTGTCTCCCCTCTCCTTTTAATCTGTCTCACCCTAAGGCAACAAGGAAGATATTGTGAGAAGTGACAGTATAATTATGAGAACTCCCTTCCTCCTTCCACCATTCAAATCTTGTCATTTGAACTGTGTATGCTCGTTACTAAATTAATTTTGTCTGTATTAAAAAAAGAGAATCATCGTTCTTGCCCTTAGGTAAAACTGCCATTGGTTTCATGCTGAGTATTCGCTGCGGCAGAGAGTTGTGAGAAGGCTTTACTTTCTATAGCAGGCCAGGCAAAGTGGAGCTTGCCCACCTGCATGGAGTCTAGGGTGGCTTTGTTTCCCAGCATAGATCTAATGATTGAACTAATGAAGGCATGTTGTAGTCAATAATTACCTATCCGTTATTTAAATGAGATGCTATTTACCATATAAACACAGGCAGCTCACAGCTACAAAACGTCTTTTCTCTCTCTCTCTCTCTCTCTCTCCCTCTCTCTGGCATTTTTTCTCCTGCCCCTTTTTTTATCTACAAGGGCGATTGAAACTTTATAGTGCATGATTCATAGAGAAGAGCTGCACTGGGAGCTATGGTGCATATTACATTAATCAGTGTCAGCCACTAAAACAGAGATATGAATATGAATTCTCCATATTGTCGAGGATATAAATGTTCTGGTGAATAATTGATCGCTGCTTACTAGGAAGCGCTGATAAAAAAAAAGGGCAAGTTTAGAAGACTGAAAAGTAAAGTTGATCTCATGTTTCATGCAAGATGAGTAGTAGGTAACACTTGCCAGAAGAATAACGTTCCGTCCGTATGACGTCATTAAAGACTTTTAAAGGATCTGCTACAATACACTCCTTGCTCTGCAGCTATTTTTTTTCTTTTCTTTTTTTGCAATGTGTATTTGTTAATAATTATTTTTGCCATGGTCTTTTGCTTAATTAATTTATGGTTTGGCAAGGGTTTCTGTGAACTAGGATTAATGTACATATGTTGATAAGCTAACCACTTGACGATGATGATGATAATAAGAATGATAATAGTGATTATAATAATAATATTAATAAGTAAAGGAAATGGTTTAAAACAAAGGGGGATGTATGCGATCATGAACATTGCACCTCTTTGGTACAAATGTACTACTTCCCTTTTTCCCATTTTTTTTTCTTTTTGTGACTTGTACAGTGTGCTAAAAATTTTTATCTACCCAAATATACTATGTATAGCAAATATATTAAATACAGTTGAGATGGCCTATTGGAAAATGCCTGTTGTTTTACTACATGTGAACATACAATTGATACAAATAATGCAACCGTAATATTGTAACCTCGGTGCATAAAAAGCGTTAGCACTGTACAATGTAATTAATAACATCCTAACTTTAAAAAAAACAAAACTTTTTTACAGTTATATACTTTTAATATGTACATACCTTTCCTAAATATTATAATATTTTTAACACATGGTGAAAAAGAGCAGAGGGCAAAAAAGAACATATACTGTAAAAAGAGATGCAAGTAAACTCACTAATATGTGGAATGTCTAACTTGATTAGTGTTATTTTTGTTGTTTATTCACCCATGAACTCGGGCGCATTTGTTAAGCATTTGTTGAAATACACACTTGTGCTATTCAATTACAGCACTTACATATGATGGAATTGCAAAGGCACTAGTGTGTCCACAAACAAGAATTAGCAATGCAAACTGCAATTAAGAATAGACAGGTCCTACGATGGAACGCCCTTCTGTCTGCAATTTGTTAGGTCGTAATTAACCCTGTACTGAGTACAAATTTCAGTAATGACGCCCTGCATCTTTTCACACCACCAACTGTCTATCTTGGACATCATTCACCCACGTCACTGAAAGTGACAGCATTTCTAAACATATGCTCATACTTTGTGCAAAGCACGACAACTATATGAGAAGCTGACACCGCACAATTCGGAGCACTCCTAGTTTATTTAGCTCCCACCACTTCAGAAACCTAAATATAAAGTGGAGCGATCGTGTGATATTTTACATTATTCAGAAATATCCATCATTAAAATAACGTGGTGATAAAACTGTACTTGTTTGAGAACGCTGGTATAATACTTGACATAAATTAATTCTGAACAAGATGGCATTTCTTAACTGGCATCAGGCAAAGAGGTGAAGTGTCGAGGAATGACAGCTTGTTATGCACACTGAGACCTATGGAGGGAGCTATTGTACTATAAAAGACGACCAGGAGAACACACTGTTCCCAATATGCCACGCTGACACACACACAAACTATATATATATATATA